CTTCCGATCTCCTGCGAGGTGAGCCGGGCTGAGGGAGAGGCCCGGCCCAAAACCACCCAGCCGGGTTTTGTGCCTAGGGGGTTGGCAGGGAAAGCGGATCAGGTTCTGTTCACGTAGCCGGGGTCGCTAGAAGAGAGTGCCGGTGTTTCTTGTGGAGCCCAATTCCTCACCTGGCCCACCTCGAAGGGGGGACGGGAGGGGACATGGTACCCAATTTAGCCACGCTGCTGCCGCTTTCCCCAGACCCCACAGGGACCCCCCGTCTGCTGAAGAACGACTCCGCCTGTGGGACGTCAGTGGTCCCTCAGCCAGATGGCTCCGTAGCAGTAGAGACGGCCTTTGACGGATGCTACACCAAGGCGCAAGTAAGAATGGGGCTTCTGGGCCCTCCCCCCCCCCGCCGCCAAAGGGCATAGACTGGGAGAGGTCTCCCAGTCCAAGTTTCCCAGCCGAGAGGGCTTTGCTGGGACCCCCTTCCCACCCAGCTACACCCCCTGCTGCCCGGAGAGCATCTAGAGCAGTTTTGTCAACCTTGGGAACTTTAAGACGGGTGGACTTCCACTCCCAGAATTCCCCAGCCAGCATGCTGGGAGTGGAAGTCCACCCATCTTTAAGTTCCCAAGGTTGGCAAACACTGCCCTACAGGATGGGGTCCGACAGGACTTCTGGGCAGGACTTGTGCATGAGTCTTTTCGCCTCCTCTTCATCCGGTCTTCTGAACGGGAGCCCCGGTGTTCCCCTCCTTTGCCTTCCCTGCAGCCTTTCTTAGCCGGGACGCTCAGACCTCCGGCCAAAACAGCCCTCCCCCCCGGCCGTTGGACCTGCTGGCTGGGGAAGACCGACGCTGTCGCCCCGTGCATTTGGCAGACTGTCGGAAAGGCAAACGCAACGTTGTCGTAGACAGCATGAACGGAAGTACCGCTTCCAAGTCACGGGAAGCGGTTTTGCTGTGCTCAGCTCCACTGTGGTCCAGCCTGCCTCAAGGACAGGGTCCCGTCCTGGCCAGCATGCCAGACCGGCCCAGAGGAGGGTGACCGGGATGATCAGGGACAAGGACCTAAGGAAGGGGCTGGGAACGTGTAGCCCCGAGAGCCACCCCAAGGAGGTCAGGGCCGGTCCTGCCTTCTTCCAGAGGGAAGGAATTGTGGGGAAAAAGAACAGTGCAGGACTCAGGGACTGGCTCCCCTTTGCCCGTGACTGGCGGCTTCTCCGTGGAACCCTCGAACTGGGATGGGCTCATCTGAGGGGGGGCAGCCCCGCCAAAGAGGGGTTCTGGGATTTGAAAGGACTCTGGAGCATCCTTGACTGGTGGCGCAGGGCCCTCTGTTAGTGCCTGGCCCGGAAAGTCTCAGGCTTGGGGGATGAAGATGGGGAGGGGGCTCGCAAGCTGGGTTGCCGCTTCCCCCAAAGCGGGGAGGTGACCGCTGGCTCCTCCCTCGCCAGGACGGGAGCTATCGGACAACCGTCCAGATCGAAGGCGTCAGACCTGATAGACAGATGACCTCCTATAAAAAGGAACTGAGGTGCCCAGAGCCACGTCTAGGTAGGGCAGAGGGCTGTTCTCTGGGGCTCCCTGCCTTTAGGGCTTCGTGCTGCGCAGGTGCGTCTGCGGTCTGTTGAAATAGCACCACTGGGGGCAGGAGAGGGTTTCGCCCCTTTGGCCCCCCGCCCCCCCCCCCCCAATGCTGCCATGGAGTTCCCAATCAGAGTCCGCTTGTAATGCCTCTAAGAAAATGGAATTGACTTGTGTTACCTTTGAAACGCCTCAAAACACAAAT